TATTACCAAAGCAGTAAATTATGGACAATAGAATTTGAAAAAAATCCTAAATAATAATCCCTTACAGGTGATGTCTCAAAGTATGATTGTTCTATATTGTTATATGGCACATGAGCTCTAAATTTGCTAGGAAAACTCAGAAAACCCTCTATGGTTATACTCACTATGGTTTCTTGCAGTAAAAAGATACAAAGTAAATTTGAGCAAAGGGAAATGATTATGCAATAAAATTCAGAAGAAATTAGACATAAGTTTGTGAGAGTCCCATGGAATCATTCACAATGTACATTTTTTTCTAGCACTGAATTGTAACAACATGTCAGAAATGTCTACTATGGGAGCTCAGTGGAAGTTCAGTGCCATATATATATATATATACACACACACACACACACACATATATATATATATATATTTCTACTATTAGCTGGGCATGTAGGCAATCTCTGCCCTAGCTTTTACTAAAATTCCAAACTCTCAGTAGGAAAGTAGGTAGTGTAAACCACTTTGTACAAGTAGGCTAGGTATAATGAACCTCTCTTAACAAGGAATTGTGGAAAATCCTCCCAAAATCTAAGGGTTTTTTTTTTGAGACAGAGCCTCAAGATGTACTCTCCCTGGGTAGAGTACCATAGCATCATGGCTCACAGCAACCTCCAACTCCTGGGCTTAAGAGATTCTCCTGCCTCCGCCTCCCAAGTAGCTGGGACTACAGGCAACCAACTGCTACAATGCCCGGTCATTTTTTGGTTGCAGCCGCCATTGTTGTCTAGCAGGCCCAGGCTGGATTTGAACTTGCCAGCTCAGGTGTATGTGGCTGGTGCCTTAGCCACTTGAGCCACAAGTACCGAGCCCCACAATCTAAGTTTTTTGGATACCAGTCAAGGGCTAACTTGGCATCTTAGTCTATTTGTGCTGCTGTCACAGAATACCACAGACTGGGTAATTTATACATCATAGAAATGGATTTCTCACAATTCTCGAGGCTGAGAAGTCCAAGAAGACATAGGCAGGCTGATTGGTGTGGACTGCTCTCTGCTTCCTAGATGGCATCTAGTTGCTGCATCCTCTGGAGGGGACAGATACTGCATACTCATGGCAGAAGTGATGGAAAGGGAAGTGGGGATTACATTTCAACAAGCGGACTTCGTCATTCCAACTATAGCATGTCGCAAGCAGGCCCTTCTAAGGTGAGCAGTCTCAAACCTATTTTAATTCTTTTCTGTACATATTGCATCAGAAATCCAGTATTTATGTTCTGTCCTTTTTTGTTATCACCAGATACCATATCAGGTTATCCTTCCTCAAAGGAATTTGTACCAGAAATCCCAAAAGGTTAAACAAGAAAACATTTGTTGACCTCTTCCCCCCCTGCCACAACTCATAAAACTGCAGGTACCTCCCAATGACCTGAGTCTTCAGATTGGTCACAAGATAACTGTAGAACCAGGAGCTACCTGGATTTGGGGATGGTTTTTGTTTGTTGTTTATTTAGTTTTAGAGACAATGTCTACCTCTTGTCACTCAGCCTGGAGTGCAGTGGCATAATCATAGCTCATTATAGTCCTCCACCTCACAAGTAGCTGGGAATACAGGCATGTGCCAGCATGCTCAGCTAGTTTTTTTTTTGTTTGTTTGTTTTTGCAGAGATGGAATTCTCTAAGGAGTTCAAGACCAGCCTGGGAAACCCTCATGTGCTCACCTCAAGTGATCCTCCCACCTCAACCAATGAAATTGCTGGGATTACAGACATGACCTACTGGGCCAGCCTTTTTGGTTTTATTTGTGGTTCCTCAAGAGGAAAGAGCTATTTCTTTTTCTTCTTTTTTTTTTTAGGGTGCTGTGGTATCACAGCTCACAGCAACCTCCAACTCCTAGGCTTAGGCAGTTCTCCTGCCTCAGCCTCCCAAGTAGGTGGTACTACAGGC